TGGCTAATATTCGTTTTCCTCCAAGCATCTAGATCGAAGATGTTCATGCCATATGCCCATGCACATTCATTAGGATTAAAATTGTTTGCTATCAGAGGATGAGAAAAGTTCAAATAACTTCTGAACTTCTTTGACATGACATATTTGTCTTCGCCTATGCATGTTTCGACTGCTCCATTAACCTTTCCATTCATGTCGATATCCCACAGAGGTGAAAGGTCAGTTTGCACCACAATGTCATCGTCCAGGAAGACTACCTTGTTAAGATTAGGAAACAACTGCAAATAAAATGATTTTGCATATTAGATAATGGGCTATTTAACCATTTTAGGGAAAGCATCGCAACTTTGAGACTCACCTCTGGAAAATGTATCCGAATGTGATTCATCACTGAATTGTACTTAGGGCTAAGTGCCTGCAATTTTGCGGCAATAACTTTGGGTTGTTCAGTGTTATTTGCCACAATGGCCGATGGTCCTCCTCTGAACTGCGAGCGAACTTTTTGGTCTTTCTCCATTGCTTCCAACACAGGGATCTTACCCTTTGTTAACCAATCAAAATGGTGCAATGCTTTGACTTCAATGATTGCTGGTGTCAAAGGATGCAGGGAAAACCATGCCTGCATTGGGTAGTAGGTCTTTCTATCTGTAATTATGTGTAGGACTACCCTCTCAGGGTGCAATGTGTTTTGCACGAGCGATGATGCAACAACAGACGCGGCAAGGACATTGTCAGAGGCGAGCACAAAGTGGAAGAACGAGTTATCAACCAGGGCAGGGACGAATTCTGCCGAGGGTAGTTGGAGACGGGCATTGGCATTAGTTGAGTGCTCGTTCGCTAGTCTTAGAGCAAGACAATGCAGCTGTTTCGGTATGCTACTCGATGCCACATGGCGATACAGGTATTCTTGGATTTTCGCCGTTCTAGTCCTCTGTTCGAATAGTCTCACCTGTCAGAACCAGAGAGACCAACCATTTGAAAGCTTAGTGAGAAATAACTCAATATGATGAGAAGCTAATGCGATTCGTGTTTTTCAGAACTTGTTTATGATTACCATAGCTTTGAGCTTGACAGCGAAGGTCTTTGCATCAGACTGTCCATCATTCAACTCAGCAACAAAATCTTCGAGTGTTTGAGGGATTTCTTGTTCTAGATCTATTTCACTTTGATTAATAGGTTCTTCCAAAACGTGATATATAATTTCAGGAATCTTAAAAAAGAAAAAAAAAAAAAACAGAGAGTTTAGTTATCTCAATTATAAATGACAGGTTAAAAACACTGATGTGCATTGAACTTTTAGAGAAATTTCATGTATATTGCTAAAAAAATTTCGTTGTATGATGGTAATTGTATTTAGCGAACGTAAAATTTCTCTAAAATTTTAGTGACTACCAGTGTATTTAGCCCGTTACGGCTCGTGCAAAGATAAAAACAGAGTTTAGGAGATTACAGTTGCTTCAATTCTTCTTCCCAAAATTTTAGGTGCTAATTTTTTCCCCAAGCAGCCTACATTTGATGAGAATTAAGATTTTATCACTGTTGAAGTTACTACAAAAATATGAGTATAGCTTAATGGATAACATGGAAATGTAAAGGTGCAGAATCCCAACAGTTATAAAAATAAAAACATTAGAAACATGTTGATACATTACTGGACATTCATGACATTTTAGAGTGAGTTCAATCTCTAGACAAGTAACACAACAACAATTAGGTAGTGCCCTCAATTAAAAAATTAAAAAATAAAAATAAAAAATGATGGAATCTTCACATTTTTTACATCGATAATAATTAAAAAATTATTTTAATAAATTTCATTTATAGACAAAAGTTATGTCACCCCATAAAGTAAATAAAAATAAAACATAAACATTATTGATGGAAAAGTTCATAGTTATAAAATAACAATTAAAAATAATAATTGAAGATTAATAATAGAGTTTGTAATAATTTTGTTAAAAATGTCTTAATATATTTAATTTATCATAATATTCTGTCATTCAATAAAGTGCCAAAATACCAAAAAATAAAATAATAATAAAAAAAATGGAAAAAATGAAGAAATAATAACTTTACTTTTAGAAACCCTGTCAATATTTAGATAATTATTAACAAAATAATATAAGATAGTAAGAGCATTTTAATAATATTATTAAATATAAATACTTTAATAAATATTATTTAGCGATGAATTTGTCAGTAAATAAAATAATACAAATATAAAAATTAAATACTAATAAAAAAAAGATTCGTCTAGAATAAAATACCAATTAATATGTTAACTTCTCTGGTGGTGACATTATAAATAAAAAATAAAAAAAATATTTATTTACCTGAAATTTATAAAAATAAAAAGTGAACTGATGGTGATACCAATGACTTTCCGTCCCCATCGATAGTTAGCAACATCATCATCGACGACGTTCTCAACCAGTTTAGGACCCATTTACTTAAAATGGTAATTATTTACATAATAATAATAATAATAATAATAATAAATTAAAATGTTGTGCATTGCATTTCAAATTGTGAAAATGCTTTAAGACACGATTAACTGTTTTATATATGCATATCAGCCAGCTCAGGCTCAAATGCCATTTTATAAACCACAATCTTCAAAACCCCATTTTGGATTATTAACTGCTGGTTGTGTTTGTGGGGAGGAGGAGAGAGATACCTAGTGTTGAACATTTGGTTTCTCCATCAATGGAGTTGACAGCGGTTAAGACAAACACAAAACGAAGAAGAAAAGTGAAGAACAGAAGCGAATAAAAAACCATTCGATACGACAATCTTCTCGACCCAATCTTCACTTTTATAAATTCTCTAACACCTTTACCAGGCAAAACGGTGACATGCCTCAAACTAGGCGATATATGCAGCTGCATTTTTGAACCAAACAGTAGAAAATATACCCAGGAATCAATAAGACTACAAACTCTATATTTATTCAGCAATGCAGCCAAGAATTTGTGCTCGAAATGCAAAGACTTGAATAAAGAGAAATGCTGTAAAAGGAAGGGCATGTTTAGAGTTGCTATCGGT